CTGCAAGTACAGTGGGAGAGTTGCTGTGCAGGAGAATTCCTTTATGGAGCAGGACTTGCTTCAGTGGGGCTTTGGTGCTCACTGAGTCTGCCCCTTGAGTGTGTCACTTATGGATGTGAAGAGTTGTAATCTGGTATGGTCTCACACTGATCACTGTGTACACTGGCTTTTGGGTCTCCAGGGAGGTGCAAAGTCAGCCACTGCCTGGGGCCACCCAGCAGGAGCTACAGAGAGATCTGCAGATCCCTCTTCTTTGTTTGGGATTTGGAGGTGCCCAGATGAGGCCCAGCTATGAAGCAATGCAAGCTGCTGTGGGGCCTTGAGCCTTTTTTTGGATGTTCTGGTTCTCTCTGACCCAGCTGCAGTTGGTTAGGTAATTTTCAGATTGCAAAGGGCCAGGCTTTTCATATGCAAAAGCTTCTGCACACAGCTTGGGTGGGGCGGGGTCTCAGGGAATCAACAGGTTGGAGCAAACAGCTATGGCTGATCCTCAGCCCTGCCCTAAGAGGCCCCAGGTCTCATTGTCCCGTGGTAATCGCTGCCAGCACCTCTGAGAGAAAACCACCCTCGAGTTCCGCCTGATGTCATACAGTCCAGTTTCTCCCTGTATGAGTCTGGGTCACCAGAGACTCACCCAGAACTGGAGTTCAGAGCAGTCAGGAGCTTGAGACTCCCTCCCGATTGAAAAAGATAACCATGTCCTCAGTTGCCAGCCCTTTCTGTGTGCACCTCCGTACCTCTGCACCTTACTTCCGCACCTCCTCTGAGTCTCAGTGTGCTTTTCTCTTTCTTTCTAGTTGTAGAATTTCCACTCAGCCAGCCTTTCCATGGTTCTGGATGATGTACATTTTGTCTTTTAGTTGTAGTTTTGAAGTGGTTGTGCGAGGCAGCAATTTCAGGTGTTTACCTATGCCGCCATCTTGGTTTCTCAATATTTTTATTATTGAAGTAAAGATTCAGAACAAGCAGCTTACCAGATTTAAAGAGACTATGAAGCTGGAAGAAAAGTAATTTAATCCAATTCCCACAAACACTTATGCAGTTTTACTATGTCTAGAAACCATGCTAGATATTAGAGTATAAAAATTAATGAGACCTGTGTCTTTCTATTGAGGAGCAGGTAAGTATTTCTAGGAGGAAAGACATAAAAACATAATTCTAGCAAAATGTATTAAGAAGAAAGATAGAGACATAAACAGTATTATGAGAGAACAAAAGAGATACGACTTTATTCTGGAAGTTTAGAGAAGACTTCTTAGAGGAGATGATTCTTGAGGATGAATAAAAGATAAAGTAGGAAGGGCTTCCAGTTTGAGGGAATAAAAACATGAACATGAGTTTCTTAGAATCATGAAAGCATTTAGTGGGTCTGGGAAACTATAAGCAATAATGTACAAAGACATAAACAGCAGAAAGTAAGGCTGAGAAGTAGCTCAGGACCAGGTAATGGAAGGCATTGCATAACATGATAAGGAAACTGGACTTTACCCTGAAGACCCTAGCAATCCACTCAAAGGGAATGACATACTGACATATCTGTTTTCTTTTCGTTCAATCCCTACAGTGTGCACAATAGTTTGAATTGAAGGTGTGTGTATATGGATAGATTAATTAAGAGTCTATTACAGTCTTTGAGTGAGAAATAATAGTGGACCTGAACTTAGATGGTGATAAGTAGAGATATAATGTAGTACATGGGGTTTAAGAATCATTTAGGTCAGGGGTGGGGAATATCCAACCCATAAGCCATATAAGGTCCACAAAATCATTTGGTCTGGCCCTGCCAAAGCATTAGGGGTGAGTTAATTAAATGTTTGAGCAAATATAGTAGGCTAATTTTTAAGTTCTACAAAGAACTCTGATCGCATGGAGTCCTCCCAGTTTTGCCAGGCATAGTTAACTGCTTTTTCCTTTGTGCTTTTTCACTGTACTCTGTGCTTACAACTATCGTAGATAGTATTGGTTATCACCCTATATCTGTCTTTCTTCCTCATTAGATTGTGAGGTTCTTGAATGGTGACTGGGGTTGCTGACTTATTTATGTTTATATCTCCAGTACTCAGTAATATATGTTGGGTGAAATAATGAATAAATGAATTAATATACTTGCTTAAGAGTGGTTTGGGGTGGGGAGTAATCTATACTAATAAAAGGGTAATATGCTAATTAGACTGGACATCTTCTGGACATCCTTCCAGACAAAGCCACGGTGGCAGGGGCCAAGGCAGAGGTGGTTAGGGGCGATCAGGCCGGCAGGAGGGAGCAGTTAGGGGGGATTCAGGTCAGCAGGGGAGGGCAGTTCGGGGCATTAGGCTGGCAGGCAGAGGTGGTCAGGGGCGATCAGGCAGGCAGGCAGGCAGGCGAGCGATTAGGAGCCAGCAGTCCGGGATTGCGAGGGGGATGGCCAACTGCCGTTTAGGCCCGATCCCTCAGGGGTCCTGGATTGGAGAGGGTGCAGGCCAGGCTGAGGGACCCACCCATCCCATGCACAAATTTCATGCACTGAACCTCTAGTCCATTATAAAAGAATAAGAGTATTTGATTAAGAATTGAGCATTAGACCAGGGGTTGGAATTTTATTATCCTTCGAAGGGCCAGATAAATATTGTACACTTTGGAGGCCACATATGGTCTTGGTCTCCTAGTCTTCATTATTTTTGTTTACAACCCTTTAAAAATGTAAAATTCATTTTTAACTTGTAGGCCATATAAAAATAGACATGGGCCATAGTTCGATAGCCTCTGTAATAGACAATACCCATAGGTAGGAGTTTGGAAAACAAGAGTCTATGGAAAAAATAAACATAACCCAGATATCAGCAGAGGCCACTTTATGCTCTTCTCCTTGCCACCACCCATACACTCTCAATAAATTTTAGTTTAGCTCTTGATTTCCAAACCTGTTATTTCAGAACATCCCTTAGTCATCAGAAAATTCTATTATATTATGTCTTTAGCTATGTCCTCTGGTATGTGATTGGTTTCATCCCACATCAACATGAAATTTAGTCCCCGCATCAGCTTACATGACACACACACATGCACACATCCACTCAAAATTGGCATTTTGTGCCCGGCCAGTGTTGCTCAGTAGTTGAGCACTGACCATGCACCAAGAGGTCCCTAGTTTGATTCTCGGTCAGGGCACATGCCTGGGTTGTGTGCTTGATCCCCAGTGCAGGATATGCAGGAGGCAGCCAATCAATGTGTCTCTCTCACTAATGTTTCTGTCTCTCTAACTCTCTCCCTCCCCCTCTCTAAAATCAATAAAAACATATTTTACCAAAAAATAAGCATTTTGTGGGTTTAGTGACCTTAGGGGGTTATTGACAAGGTTCACATCAAGCACCGTTCAACTTCTCTGCAGTTGCATATCTTCTCTTTTCCCACAAGACAAATTAATTCCTTTTAAGGCCTTATCCAAATGAAGTTGTTTTATTAACCTTCCTGAAACCATCACACTCAGGGAGTTCCCAACTCCAAGCAGGTTTATCAAGAGATATAGTTTATTCCTAACAACAACCATAATAATGGTGATGATGATAATGATAATAGCAGCTAACATACATAGGTCTTAGTATGAGACAGACACAGTTCTAAGTGCTTTAGTGCTCATATTAAACCCAGGAGGGAAGTGTTATCATTGTCCTCATTTTACAAAATAGGAAATGGAGTCACTGGAAGTTTAAGTAACTTGCCCACAGTCACACATGATCAGTGGGAAAGAAAGCTCCAAGGAGCCAGGGTGAGGGCAATCAATACTGTCATAAGTGAAGAGGCCCAGAAGGATGGAACCTGAAAAACAATGCTTATATGTGGTGGGAAGGTTAAAATTAATGAAATTTAGCCCTACCCAGTTTGGCTCAGTGGCTAGAGCGTTGGCCTGTGGCCCAAAGGGTCTCAGGTTCGATTCCAGTCAAGGCCATGTACCTTGGTTGCAGGCTCCTCCCTAGCCTGGGCTCTGGTTGGGGCCCTAGTTGGGACACGTGAAGGGTTCAACTAATTGATGTGTTTCTCTCACATCAATGTTTCTCTCTGTCTTCCCCTCTGTCTTCCACTCTCTCTAAAAATCAATGGAAAAAATCTCCTTGAATGAGCATTAACAAAAAGAAAAAAATAGTGAATTTTCAAAGAACTATCTCAGATTTTTTGTTCTTTTGGGGTTTTTTTTGCTTCATATAGACACAGACAACATTATGGTGATTACCACAGGGAAGAGGAGGTGGGGTGGTGAGAGATAGAGAACAGTAAAGGGGGAATAAATGGTGATAGAAGGAGACTTGACTTTGGGGGTGAACACAATACAATATACAAAGGATGTAGCATAGAATTGTATACCTGAAACCCATATGTTATTAACCAATGTCACCCCAATAAATTCAATACACATTAAAAATTAATAAAAGAACCACTTCTTAGATAGTGAGGTAGAAGCAACATTGCAAGGCATAAAATCAGAATGGCTGGTGAATAAGTAGAAGTAATAGTTATAGACCACTTATGCTTAGCTGTTTGGAATTTCTTCCTTGTTTAATCCTGTGTAGTTGAGATCACAAAATCTACTCTTTTACACAGTTTTTTATGTAGTCTTATTCTCTTGGGCTCACAAAAGTTGTTTTATGTTGCTACTAACTCTTTCTTCTTCTTCTTGAATGTTTTAGGATGTGCCACAGTTTGTCCTACCTGCAAAGCAGGATCCAGGACCTGCTGAGGGGAAGAGTCATTCACTGGGCCCTTCAACAGCCCAACTTCAAAAGCTTACTTCCATTAACCATCCATTGACACCACACAGACTCCAAGCCTCTGAATTGTGCTTGACAACAACATGGAGATGATTTTGGTAAGATGTGTGGGGAAAAATACTTTCTTTTTAATTGTGATAAAAACAACATAAAATTTAATATAACCATTTTTAAGTGTACAGTTCAATAGTGTTCCATATATTCACATTGTTTTGCAATAACAGATACTTTTTATGTGGACTGAAAATACTTTCTAAGGACCTCTAGCCATTTATTTCCAAGGTTATCCTATAGGTTGCAAGAAAGACAAAAATCATTTGGGCAATAGTAAAATGTCATCCCAGCTAGAAAAAGGGAACACTGTTCCAGCCCCACTCTTATCTCCCTGCATCACATAAGGGAAAATAGGAAAGAAAAGAAAGCCTCATGGTACAAGAGAGAGCTTCAAAGGCTACCACCAGGAAAAGTATTACGTGGAAGAGGGGGCGGGGAAGCTTTATCCCAGTGTATTAGTTTCATGACACTGCTATAACAAATTACCACAAAATAGTTGGCTTAAAACATAAATTTATTCTCTCTCAATTCTGGAGGCTAGAAATATGAAATCAAGGCATTGGCAGGGCCATGCTCCCTCCAAAGACTTTGGGAGAGAGCTCTTCCTTGTCTCTTCTAGATTCTGGTTATCATTAAATCTATTCTGGTGGTTGCCAACAATTCTTCATGTTCCTTGGCCTGTGGCAACATCACTACATTCTCTGCCTCCATCATCACATGGCCTTCTTCCCTGTGCCTCTTCTGTGCCTTCAAATCTCTCTTTCCTTACAAGGACATCAATTGTTGGATTTAGGGCCATCCTAATCCAGTATGACCTCAACTTATCTTGGTTACCTTCAAAGACCCTATTTCCAAATATAAGGTCTTATTCACAGGTACTAGGAATTAGGATATTAACATATCTTTGGGGGGCATACAGTTCAAACCATAACACCTGAGAAAGGGACTAAAAGACTTGTGAAGGCCGCACTCCCAAGACATAGGCCCACTGTTCACTTTGAAGACTGAAACATAATTCAAAGATTAGAGAATGTCCTCCTCCCACATATAATACAACCAATATGCCTCTGGTTAAAATAAAAGTGGGCTACAGCTGGGAGAGCTGCAAGAGGCAGACTGTCTCTGATGTGCAGCACAAAGGAATGGGGAGACAAAAACAAGACACCAGAGAAATTTACTGCCTCTCTTATTCATAGAGGCAAACATCAGATAGAAACCATCTTTGGCCAGACTGATATAAATATTCACCCTGAAGTTCTATTTACCTCAGAATCTCCTGTCCTATACAGCATGCCTGGCCAACAACAACAACAACAAATTTTAAAAACATGCTAAAAGGCAAGAAATAATACAATTTGAAGAGACAAAGCACCATGAGAACTAGGTTCACATATGATACAGGTGTTGAAATTATCAGTCAAGAAACTCAAATTAACTATGATTACTATGTTAAGGACTCTCATGGAAAAGATAGACAAGATGGAAAATATAAGAATCCAAAAGATCTCTCTCTCTCTCCTCTTTTTAAAATATATATTGTTTACTGATTTCAGAGAGGAGGGGAGAGGGAGAGAGATATAGAAACATCAATGATGAGAGAGAATCATTGATTGGCTGCCTCCTGCACGCCACTACTGGGGATTGAGCCCACAACCCAGGCATGTGCCCTTGACCAGAATCAAACCTGGGACCCTTCAGTCCTAAGGCCAACACTCTATCCAAGCCGGCTAGGTAAAATCTGTCTTTTTCTGACCCCCCGCCCTTTTCTTTCTGGTTTGATTCTCTCTCAGTCCTCTCTTATCTGCGCAGACACTCATTCAGTCTCCTTCCAAGAGTTGTCTTCTTTTTCCAGCCCCTTAAAAGAAGTCATCCTTAGTCCCCTTTTATGTTCTCTCTATACACTCTCCCTGTACGATCTCACTACAGTAGCTCCTTGGGTTCTGGGAGATCCATTCCTATGGCGCAACGAAATACGCCCACCTATATAAGCACCTATGTCACTCACATGGAGCACATACACAGCCGTAATGAAGTGAAACAGTAAAAAAAAAAAATAATAAAAGAAATATAACAGTTCCTGACCTTTACTTGTGGTAAATAAAAAAACATAAAGCACATATGTACATATGTCAAAATGACGGAACTTGTTTTTTTAATTAAATAAATGGGAGATAGCGATGTAACCACGAAACCCCGAGGACTGCCTGTACATCATGTCCACCAGAATTATCCTAATGACTCCCAAATCTATATCTCCAGCCCTGACCTCCATCTCTCTTTAATTCCCACACCATTTATCCTTCATCTCCATCTGAATATCACACAGGCATCTCAAACTGACATACTCCAAACTGAACTCATCTTCCAACCAATATCAGGACCTTCACCTTTAGCCCATATCTCAAGTAATGGCTCCAAAATCCATACTCATCTCACCCTGCACTCGAGGAGTTATACCAGAGCTTTCCTCCGCTCCTCCACTAATGCTCTACTCTTTCACTCAGCTAACTTCTATTTGTTCTTCAGCGTGGACACAAATGTCTCCAGGAATATGTCCCAAACAGCAAAACCCGTCTAAATTATTCCTAAATGTTCCTATAGCATCTTGAACTTCCCTTCTCATAGCACATATCACAATATAGTGTTTTCATTGTCAGGTTCCTTGTCTGTATATCTTCCATCATACTACATGCAGGAACCTGATGAACATTGCTCATCGGTATTTCTTCAATGCCTACCACAGTCCCAGATGTATAGTAGACATTCAATAAATTGAAGGAATGAATAAAAGAATCACCAAGTCACCCTGGCCGGTTTGGCTCAGTGGATAGAGCGTCAGCCTGCGACTGAAGGGTCCCAGGTTCGATTCTGGTCAAGGGCATATACCTTGGTTGTGGGCACATCCCCAGTAGGGGGTGTGTAGGAGGCAGCTGATCGATGTTTCTCTCTCATCGATGTTTCTAACTCTCTATCCCTCTCCTTTCCTCTCTGTAAAAAATCAATAAAATGTAGTAAAAAAAAAAAGAATCACCAAGTCTCCAGCTAGGGTCAACAGTATCATAAATATGTCTCAAGCACCTATTATGTGTCATTTTACTAACCAAATTATTATTTTTATTGTTGACAGTAATACAGATGTCCCCCATTCCCCCCTCCTTTACCCCTTCCACCCAACACACACCCCACTCCGGCCTTCACCACCCTATTGTCTTTGTCCATGGGCTATGCATATAAGCATATATGTACTTTGCTTAATCTCCTCCAACCCCCCCCCCCACATCCTCCCCTCTGAGATCTGTCAGCCAAATTATTTTTTAAATTGAATTTGTCCCTGGAGTTATTTACCAATGCCATCATTTTAGTTAAGTATCTATCATTTCTTGATTAAGTTACTGCGGTAGCTTTCTAACTTCAATCTCAGGCCTCTCTATCCTATTTGCCACACAGCTGCCAGAATGAGCCACTCCACAGCTTAATGACCACAGTGAGCTCATAATAGCCTACAAAGTATTCCAAAACCTGAGCATAGCAGACCAGAGCCTACGTATCTTGGCTCCTGCAGCCTCTACTCTAGCCACATCAACAGCCACGCCCCCATGGGCACCCTACTCTCCAGTCTTAGTAAACTAATTGCAGGTCCCCCCAAATGCTTTGGCTTCTCGTCATGGTACAGATCCCTTCTCTCACACACCCTTGCCATCAAGCAGCTTGCCTGGTCCACACCTATGCTTTCAACAAAAGGTGTATGGACCATTTGTTAGACACTATGACCAAGTGGGATTTCTCCCATGAATGTAACATATAAAAAGCAATTAATGTAATGCACCCTACTAATAGAATGCAGGGGGTGGGGGGATCTCATGCTCGTTTATTTCATAGATGTAAGGGGAAGGGGAGCATTGGACAAACTCCAACACCCTTTCATGAAAAGAAATTCAACAAAATAGGAATAGAAGAGAACTTCCTCAACCTGATAAAGAGCATCCCATTGACAATGGTGAAAGACTGGGTACTTTCCCCCAGGCATCAGGAGGAAGATAAGAATGTTTGTTCTTGACATTCTATGCAACATTATACTCAAAGTTCTAGCCAGGCCAGCTAGATAAAATGCATTCCAATTGGAAAGGAACAAGTAAAACCATCTTATCCACAGACATGTTCATATATAATATATATAACACTAAAGAATATAGTAAAACACAACAGCCTATTCAAATATACAATAAAGGAGCTCAGCAAAGTTGCAGGAGCCCAGATCAATGTGCAAGCATCAGTTGTATTTCTATACACTAGCAACGAGCATTCTAAAAATGAGGTTAAGAAAATGATGGCTTTTACAGTATCATCCAAAAGAAAATACAATACTGAGGAATAAATTTAACAAAAGACATGTCAGACTTGTACTCTGAAAACTGCAAACCATTGCTGAAGGAAATGAAAGAGGACCGAAGTACATGGAAAGGCATCCCGTGTTAGTGGATTGAGCATTTAATACTGCTAAGATGGCCACAATCCCCAAGGCAATATTCAGACTCAGTGCCATGCCTGTTACAATCTAACTTGGTTTCCTTGTGAAAATTTACAAGCAGACCCTTAAATTCACATGGAAATGCAAGGAATGCGGACAGCCAAAACACTCTCACAAAGAAGAACAAAGTGGGAGGACTCTCACTTCCCAATTTCAGAGCTAACTACAAAGCTATAGCAATCTTACAAAGTGTGGCCCTGGCATAACGATAGGCCTATTGTAGGTCAATGTTTTAGAATTTAGAATCATAAACAAATTCATATATGTATAAATAATTGATTTCCAATAAGGGTACCAAGACCATTCAATGGAACAATGAAACATCTCTTCAAAAAAAAAGGGGTGCAGGGACAACTCAATATCCACAGATATAAGAATGAATATGGACCCCAAACTCACACCAGGTACAAATATTAAATCTGATGGGCCACAGACCTAAACTTAAGGGCTGAAACAATATAACCCTTGAAATAAAGCATAGGTGCAAATCCCCATGACCTTGGATTAGGCAACGGGAACAAAATATGAGAGCAAAAGCAAAGCCACAAAAGACAAAGAAAAAAAAACAGATAAATTGTATAGCATCCAAATACTAAACTTTTATGCCTCAAAGGACTCTATCTAGAAAGTGAAAGGACAACCTCCAGCATAGGAGAGACATTTGCAAATTATATATCTGATAGTGGCCTACTTTCCAGACTGCATCAAGAACCTTAAAACCCAGCAACAGAAAAGACAAGCAGCCCAGTTTTAGGAAAGGGGCAAAGCAGTTGAAAGTACATCTGCTTCCCCCAAAGCAGATGTACAAATGGCCAAGAGGCACATGAAAGGATGCTCAACATCCCTAGCCATTAGGGAAATGCAAATCAAAACCATGAGGTACCACTCCACACCCACTGGGATGAGATTATAAGCAAAACAAAAGGGAAATGAGTTTTGATGAGGATATGGAGCAATTGGGGCCTCAGACGCTGTTGTCAGAACTGTAAAATGGAACCATCACTATGGAAACCAGTGGGCGGGTCCTCAGGAAGTCAAACATAGAATTACCACATGGCCTGGCAATTCCGCTCCTAGATATACACACAGAAGAACGGAAAACAGGTGTTCAAACAGAACCCTGTGCAGGAATGTTCACCGCGGTGCTACTCACAACAGCCAGAGGTGAAAATGACCCAAACATCCATCCACTGAGGAACGGATGCCCAACATGTAGTCCACCCATACAATGGAATGTTATTCAGGCATGAAAAGGGAATGAAGTGCTGATTCATGCTACCACCGGGGTGAACCATAATGAGACCATTATGTTCAGTGAAGGTAGGCAGACACAAAAAGCCACCTATGTATCCTATGATTACATCCCTAGAAATTTCCAGAATAGGCGAGCCTCTATGGACAGGAAGCAGGTTCATGGTTGCCTGGGTCTAGGAGAGGAGGAGGGCAGTGGGAATGACTGCCACACAGGGTACAGGGGTTTCTTTTGGGGGAGGTTCCAACGTTTTAGAAGCAGATAGGTGTGCTGGCTGTCCAACATCACCAGTTATACCTGGTGCCACTGGATCCCACATGTTTTTTCTCTACAACATTCCTGTCCAGTGGACAGTGAGAGTTCCCTCAAAGAGAGGGTCCCATGAGCAAGGGTGAGCAGGGCGCTGCCAGCACCCCTTCTTTGCAGGCCCCGGCCCACCAGGGCCAATGGGAAAGCAGTGACCTCACCGAACTTATGCGTCATACAGCCTGTACCTGGACCAATGAGGGGTCGGTCCACGGTCGCGAGGATACGGAGCAGGAGCCTCTGTACTGGCCATCTTGAGCGGTTGAGACCAACTGGCATCTTCCTGAACCTAACCGCACTGAACCGCACCGCAGCACGCCACAGCGCACTGTAGATCTAGGCGGGTCGGAGACAGTGCACCCCAGAGCCCATCATGTCTGGGCAAAGAAGCCGCGGAGGGTCTTCTGATCACCAGAGGCGGAACCGCACCCGAAGCCGCACCAGCAGAGCTGAATTGACCTTCTCTGTGAGCCACCTGGAGCACCTCCTGCGGGACGGCCACTACACCCAGCGCCTCAGCGCCAATGCACCTGTGTACCTGGCGGCCATCATCCAGTACCTGACGGCCACGGTCCTGGAGCTGGCGGGCAACGAGGCCCAGAAAATCGGCTGCAGGCGCATCCC